TGTCATATATTATTAGTGTCAGAATTATTTTTCTTTGATTTATTTTAATTCTGTCTTTTAACATCATTTCCTTGTACCGCATTGATGTTGAGTAAGGATGATGCTGAACTTCATTTTAAATTTGTCTTCTGAAAATAAAGTTATTGTTCTATTGATACATATCCTAAACTAATAAACTTGATAAAGATCACGAATTACGTCATTTGTATTACATTAGTAAATGATAATCATTTTCTAGACAGGACGTTTTTTGTATTATAAAGGTGAACTTGCCAAGATCGTGCAAACAAAATATATTAAAATTCGTTGGTATTATTTCTTAAAAATCTTTTTAAAGAATTATATTTTACCAATAAATAAGACAAACGGGAGTAATCCTTGCCTAATTTTTGATCATCGCTCTTAGCCAATCAAAATCGAGGATCTCTCGCACATTATAATTTTGAGTTGAATTAACCAGTGTTTCGGGCGAAATTATTTTCCAAATCCAAAATATTTCGCTCAGAGAAATTTTAGTTTCGCCCTATAAGCCCGAAACCCTCCGAAACTAGTTTCGCCCAATTTTATCTGCAACTAACAAAAATAAATTTCTCATCACAGGACTGCCAATTTTTTCCGCCATTACTTTGCTAGCCGTAGTGATGGTCACCGCACGTGATGCGCGGGATTCAAAAAATCACATGCGGAATATTCGGGCAGCAACATAATCTAGCCGAGTTCTGAGTCGGGGTAAAATTATAACACATTTCCGAAAAACCAACCACCTTGTTCGCGTTTGGTTAAGAGTTGTAACAGTTTACATTTCTATTTAAATATTATTAATTAAGAAACCCTTTTTAATCTTTAATAAATTTTGTAGTTATAAATTTGATCTTCACATATTTGCATTTTTTATCATCACAATATTTATCAGTCTTTTATTTGAGTTTTATATTTTGGATTTTTTACATTTGTTATTAGTATCGAATTTGTAGTTAATAAAAATAAATAATCCTGATTTGAAAAGTATTTTAATAAAAAATTGAAAAATTGTAACATTCAATAATCTTGTTCACGTGAGAGAAGTAGCCAATGCTTTTCCCGCATTAGAGATTCAAACTACGAACTACACTTTAATTTTTCGAATAACAGTTACAATAGCTTTTACTTGTCTGTTTTTTTTATGTTTTTTCTAATGAATTTCTTTTATTTATGTATTTATACGTATTATAATAAATTCTGACACTAATACGCATATCGATATTGTGTGATACTGCATATCAAAACTGTTTTATCACGGGAATTCATCGACTGGAACTGATATAAAAAATCGGTTGCGTGAAGCACATACTTAATCTGATAAATTGACTCGCCCATACTCTTTTCTTTCACTTATCCGCAAGAAAGCTCTTTACTGAATATCTTGTTATTAATTTTTCAGAAAAAAACGCGTATATTATAGATTTTAAAAATAACAAGGTAAGAATGTATTTTTTCAATTAAAGTAGCATTGGCATTATCGAAATACAAACTCATAACATTTGTAATCTTTGAATCTTTTAAAGTGAGGGTTAACAATGTTCAACAAGAAAGCCAGTTAAGCCAAAAAAAAGTATATGAACGATCCAAAGCAATTTATGAGCAGCCCAAAGCTAGTCGTTCGTAAGGTTAAGGAAAGCCAATTAACCTAAAAAAATTATAACGGTCCAAAGCAATTCATGGCTCTTCATAGAGGTAAATGATTTACTAATGTTGTTAACTAAATAATTATAATAAAGGTATGAAACTAATGAATTATGTTCACATATTAGCAGATTTTAAAGGAAACCTTTTTCAAACCAATTATACACTGGTAGAAGAAATTAATCGTGTGAAAAATGATATTGATAAGTATAAGTCTGTTAGCACTGCGATCGGCCTTAAGATTCGAGAAAATGACTCAAGATTTAAATCGAGGTATATTCAATTATATTCAATAACATGTGAAATTTTCGTCGTTAATAAACATTATCAATTCATTACTCATGTAAGAATCATACACATAATTGTTAAAAAAATAAACAGCAATAGAAAGCCAATTGTTTTTTAATATATTTTTCTATTTCCTATCTCCATTACAAGTGATGGGCACGCGCGGGATACGTAGTATAATATGAATGCTGCTAGTAGGACCGAAATGTTCTGATAAATTTTGACTGTTATTCCGCAATATTCTGAAAACAAGAGAAATTTGAAACCAGTTGATTAATTATCTATCCCGCGAATTCCGCGCAGGATTTTTGGGAATCCGTGATTTGCCCATCACTAATACAAGTTATTATATTAACTTCTTTGGTTTTGTTGCTAGATTGAACTTGAGTTCTGACTTTCGTTATTTGGATAGACTGAAACTACATGTTGATCAACTAAAGTACTAACATCTATTTTTGAGGAAAAAGAGGAAGGTATAATTGAGGAACCTGAGATTAACGGGTTTGCAGGTTGAATAGTATTTGACTGATCGTCATTATTGACAAGAATATTTTAATTAAAAAAAGAAATAAATTTTCGATTTAGACTTATTTATTAAATAACGTTGTAAATTTAAGCATATAAAAGCAAATATTGATATATTTTTTATTGAAAGAGGTTCCTATTCATTTGTACAAATTATTTCCTTTATTTTCTTATGACTTTGCAATGCTACACTTCTAAATCTATGATTGTTTGATTTTATTTAACTATTTCTATTGCAATACTTTTTTTGTTTCATAAGTTCTAAATTTTCTTGTTCTAAATCTGCGATCCTATCATCTTTTAGTTTAATTTCTTTCTTTCGATCATCATTAATCTTTTTTAACCGCTTTTCGACCACATCACTTTCGTCGCGTATTTGTTTTAAATCGTTTTTCAAACATTTAATCTCTTTTTCATTTCTTCCTTT